AAAACTGGAAACCTTGTTGAAGACAGGCTACTGTTTTATGTTCCACCTTAAGAAACTGAAGCCAATAGGTAATTCAGATAAAGCTTTTTTCCCCTGCAACAAATTGAAAACATGACATTTAGAAAAACAATGTTTCTGCTGTATAATTAAGAGAGCAAAATGACATATCAATGAACCTGCATACATTTATAACAATTTCTTAGAGCATTTAAGGCTTATCACCAGCTAAATTTGGAATGACAATCCCAATATAGTAAATACATTATAACACTTCACCCAAACAAGCTTCTCAGTAGCACATATTCAAATCTAAGAGAAGCCTGTCACATCAGCAGCTACCATGGGCGTTTGTTTTCCTACCAGCACAGATACACAAATTCTCAACAAGTACAACACTGGCACTACATCTACTAATTTAATATGATCACCTCAAATACTCGTTTAGCCAGGGAAAATGCTGAGTAGCTATTCCTTCCACAAAGGCTTACAGTCTTTTACAACTGAGTTTGGTATTAGAAAAAGATCCTTGTGCACAGGTACACTCTTTCAGAAATAAGAGTTCTGTCAATTAAAACATCTGAACGAGGTTGCAGTCTTTTCTAGGTCAGCCAATTTTCTTCTCCCTTCAATTTTAGGTTACTGACACAATACATGCAATCATAAAACCATGCAAGAGGCAGAAAGTAGTAACTTCTTTCCTCAGGTCTGATGCAAGCCTCAGTACGTGCTATGACCCTAAAGGCACACATTTTTACAGGGGTTCAAGGATTAAATGCGAATGTCTAAACCTTGACGCTCCCCTGCAATCCATGCATTTATCTCTATAAGCAAGGTTGGAAGGGACTTCCAGTGGCCAACATGTCTAAGCCGCAGCTCAAAGCAGGTCTAATTACAACAGGTTGCCAAGGGCCATGTCCAACATATTCTTGAACTCCTTCATGGAGTTTCAACCTCTCTGGGCAACTTCATCCAGTATTTTACCACCCTCATGGGGAAAATTATTTTCCTTATATGTAATCATAATTTCCTATTCTTCCAAATTACATTCATTGCTTCTCATTCTATTGCCACACACTTCCAGGAGTCTGGCCCCATCTTCTCTATATCCTGCAGCCAGCTACTTGAGCTTTCTCTCCTCCTAAGGTTGAGCAAACCCAGCTCTCTCAGCCTCTGTTTCTTGGGGACTCTTCACTGGATTCACAGATTGATGTGGCTATGTCAGCATCTTCCTGGGAAGCTCAAAACTGGACACAGTTTGCAAGATGCAGTCTCACAAATGCTGAGTAAGGGGGAACAATCACTTCTTCATGAGATTTAGTTCTTCGGGATCATTATTTTTCATCAGAAATATCTGCATTTAAATTTGCATGCAGATATGAAAAAAAAACCACAATTCTGTACTAAAATTCTTTTTTATACCAATGGACAGAGCAATTATTTAACATCTTCGTCTTATCCTAACTTTCATCTGAAACAACGGCATATTCACATCACTGCTACCACCAACTCACTGTAGCAAGAAAAACTTCCAGTATATGCTGCAGTCATCTTTTTAAGTGTGCTCTCCCAAAGAAGTTACACTAACCTGAATTCCAGCAAAAACATGTAAAAAAATCAAGATGAAGCCATTCAGCATCCTGAATGAAGGTCCGTTTAAGATGAAGCTCCCCTGCATCCTGAAGCACCCCAGGAGATGAACCTACAATCAATATGATTGCTCCCTCTAGGAAGAGCAAGCACAAATCACAGGACTACACAAACTGCTTTCTGCATGTACACACCAAGGCTATCAGAAAATAAAAATACCTGTGCTGCCCATTTTAATAGCTGTTAGAATTCAGGGCTTTTGACAGTTTTAAAGGAATGCAAATCCCACACCACAGTCCTCCCACTCTACTCAACCAAACTATTTCTTGGCTTCCCGAGGAAGTAGTACCTTGTTTACAGAGGCATCTAAGCAATAAGCTATCTGGAGGTTGCTATAGGCATTTGATGACCTTCTAGAAACATCGGGGAAATTAAAATTCGTTTATATGCCAGCTCCTATCTAACTGACTTGGAGATACCAGGCACAACAGAAATTAGGAACTTGATATCTCAAACCTATATTCGAAGTTATTTTTTTTTGGTTTGAGATTATTTCTTCAACTTCTAGAAGCATAACACAACCATTCTAAGGTGAGAAACTAAATTAAGGAGTGGATAATACAACACTACTAAAAATCTGTTCACAATAATAGGTAGATTCTAATAAGTTATCATGGAAAATAAGGGCACCTTCTCCCACTAAATAAGTCCCAATCTCCCTATTTTAAGCAAGAAAATTCTTTTCAGATGCAGCTTTAGAAAACCATTAGTCACTCGCAAAATACTCCAATGGAGAAATAGATTCCAGTTTAAAATTGCATTGCAGAAAGAAGCAATTTCCCTGCACTTTTTATTATTCCCTCAAGTGTCTTGATAGATCCTAAACACCATTTTTCTATTGAACTTGCTTAATACTCTCTCCAACAGAACAGACAGATATAAAAAGCAGATCATGCACAACTTGAAGAGGTAACTTCACTGTTCTTTTACTTAGATTTGCATACTTTCTCCTGCCCGTGTTCGTTTCCTCACATCATGACAATACCCTTTGAGATGTCAGGTTTTCATCTTACATAGTGCAGCATTACACCAAAGCTTTAAATCACTTTTAAGACCATCCATAGATTACTATTCTTTCTAACCATGAGCTCTTTTAACTGTACAGTCAGAAATCAGTCACTTTTCTGCATCTTCCACAGTTTTTAACTGCTATATCATTCTTGAACCTCTTTTAATTAAGGTGTTCATAATGAGATCGTTGCGTTCACTGAATTTGAATCTCTAAACAAATTAACTAGAAGCAGGACCAAAGTAAGTTGAACATAAGACTTCTCAAGAAAGGAAAGAGCTGTTACTTATCTTAGTATTTCAACAGAATGCTTTTTAACATGCTGAAATCCTAACTTCAAATAGTCACTTTCCTAATCATTGATGATATTTCATTAATCTCCAAGGTAGCCTAAGTCAGTTACTGCACAGTCTTAGTAGGCAGCAATGAACCCCATCATAGGCTTGTCTTGCAAAAGCACCATTCTTTTCTACTTTTTTTGTTGTTTGGGTTTTTTTTCTACTAAGTAGGAATTGCACTCTTGCATGTAAGCTGCCTCCTTTTTGATACTTGATTACTATCCATTCCACAGACCTCTTCAGTTGCAGATTCTCAAGTGCTGCATGTGGTATGTACATAGTATATACATATACAGACAAATATATTTCACACAAGTAAGCATTAACATGTTTCCCTTCTCCTGTGTAAAGACCCAATAGCCAAAATTCAAAAGGCAAAGGACCAATTAGGTACTCAAATCTGTGATGCACCATCAACCAAATCTTTTGGCAGCTTACCACTATTGATGCTATTTGAGAAAGCTGTATATGATTAGTTTCCCTAAACAGTCACTTCTTCCAGTCCTGTTCTAACATTTAGACCCTCATTTTGAAACTTAGCAATCTGGCCCACATAAAGCTATAGAGAAAAGAATGTAAGACTCTCAATTATAAATTTTTGCTTGACTAGCAAGCAGCTGCCATAAAGATATCAAATTTACCTGTACCCTTCTTATATCCTCTGACAATGCCGCTACATTCTGGCTTTTTTTGGTAAGATTTCTTGTGACCACTTCTCCAATAAACACTCTCCCCCTTTACAAACAGTTATCCCAAATACCTCAGGCCTCCAAAACATATCTGAGCATAGTATCACATACATCTCATAAAACAGCAAGGTTTTTCCTCAGTTTGACATCTATAGTTTTTCCATTGAAATGTTGGATCTCCCATGTTCTCCAGATACACAGCTGAACAAAATCCTTGAGGAAAAGGCTTCCTTACTCCACTTCTCTATTCTTCTGAAGTAGAAGAACATAACTGTATTTGGACCTTCTTCTTTAGAAAGCACAGTGTGGGGAAGCACCCAGAAAAGAACACTCATCATCACCATGCTTGGTCTTAGCTCAAAGATTTACATCTAAGGTTTCACAGCCAGCAGTGCTTGGTGTGTGCAAGGAAAGACTACCAGTGCCATAGCTCCCCACAATCTGACACTGCTGCCACGCCAAGGTGTCCTACCCTCCTCCTCCATTTGTTCACTCCCAATACTGTGCTATCACCTCCCAAGGACCAGGGCAAGACTATGAGCATCCATACAGTGACAGAAATACGGTAACTATCCTGAGTTAAAGACAACTCAGGGGAAAAAAAAGTTTAGTTTGACCCGGCAACAGTTCTCAATCTGGTTCATGCAGTGAATGCACAAGCCTACACTGGAAAAGCAGAAGGACTGAAAAAACAGAAGCAACAGGAGGGATGACAATGGAGGAAGGCTCTTCTCAAGAAGCATCCAAGGAAACAGTCTATTACATACTTCTGGTACTGACTCCATAAGAACTATTAAGTTCCTTACACTAGAACACAAAACTTGAGTGCTTTGCAGAGAAACAACTGGCAGCCTGAAAGCACAAATACACACTCGCATCACAGTGCCCACACAGCCGGACGGGAAGTGCTGCATCAACCTCCAAATGTGCTGTACAGGGAAGTCCCTGCTCAGGGCTACTCGTACCCACAGCCCTGTGCATCGAACCAGGAACCACAGAACAGCGGTGAAGAACTGCTAAACTCTTCTCTTCTAAAGCACAGACCTAATGTGTTGTAGCGAGGTTTACGTTCAAAGCTCTGCCGCCAACCAAAGCCTTGCAGCAAAGTTACAGCCGTGACTCGAGGGCCACTCGTTTCACACCCATCACCAGCCCGGCGAGCGAGCACCCCGGGCACTGCCTTCCCGCCCCCCCAGGCGAGGGTCGGGACCACAGCCAGCCCAGTTCCACCGACGTCCCTCGTACCCACAGCCACACCTCGGTGGCTTCCCCGGCCCCGCCGCCAGCGCTCCCCCCGCCCGGTGCCCCCCCGCACACCTGCGTTCCGTGCGGGCCGCGCACGAAGCCGTTGCGGAGCGCGCCGTGGGCGCCGCCGCAGCCGTTGGCGCGGGGCCGCTCGGGCCGCTCGGGCCGCTCGGGCCGCTCCATCGCGCCGGCCCCGCCGCGCCCGCTCCGGCCCCGCCCGCCCCGCGCGCCGGAAGCGCCGCCACCGCTCCCCCAGTGGCCCGCGCGTACGTCACGCGCGGGGACGGGCCCCGCCGGGGCGCGCCGGCGCGCGCGCGGGACAGGCGCCGGCCGGCCAATGGGAGCCCCGCACGGCGGCCGGGAGGGAGGGGGCGGGGCGAAGGCAGGGGCTCATCCAATCGCAGAGCGGGACGCTCCGAGGGAGGCGGAGCCAGGGGTGAACGCTGTCCAATCGCTTGGCAGAGATGGACAGGGAATGAAGAGAAGGGGATGAGCTGGCCAATCACAGCGCGAGGCGGGAGGGGCGCGCGAGCGGCGGGTCCGTCCAATGGCGGAGGGGGGCGGGGCGGGGCTGAGTGGACTGTGGGCGGGGCGGGGCGGGGCTGAGGCGGCGGGTTGTGGCGAACGCCGAGCGGGGAAGGGGTTACCGGGGGTCGTGGCACCGGGGGCGGCCGGGCCGGGCTGGGCGGGACGGACAAAGCCGGAGACAGGGGTTTTGGCCACTTGCGGCTGCGCCGCCCCGCTCCCGGGAGGGACCCAGAGCGCCTGTGGGCTCTTTCCCGCTTGCGGAGGGGCAGCGCGGCGCGGGCCGGTGCTGCCGCCGTGCCCGTCCCCGCCGGGCAGCCCTCAGCCCTGTTCCCGCGGCTGGAGCGCGGAGAGGGCCGTGGTGGGGTGAGGCGGCCGGGGAGCCCCTGGCTGCTCTGCGCTGAGGGAGCTGATGAGCGAAGCGGTTCCCCTGAGACCTGGGGGGCTGCCCCAGGACGCCTCGTGCTGTGCCCTGGTAAAGGCATCCGACGGAGAGCCCCGGGTGAGAGCTCCACGTGGCCTGTAGGGGGACGTAGTTACTGTAATGCCCTTCCGAGCAACTCAGGAATCCGCCCGGATAGTGAAGGCCCGGGCAGGGATCCCCGCAGACAAGCCCCGGGCAGAGCTTAATCCTGTAGGATTTATGTTTGGGCTGAAGTCTGGCGTGAGCCTAGATACCCTACTGAGCTGTATCGCCCCCGACTGCTGGAGCTGCCCATCTGTTTGCTCTGCCTATGGCTCTGTTTAAAAACCATCCTAGATTTGTGTACAAACGTGTTTTCTGAGAGGACTTGGAAATGCGTACTTCATTCAGAGGCCAGGTAAATTAAACGCTGTGTTTAGTTTGGGGGTGGGTGTTAGCAACCTCAGTACGGTTTGGGTGACCAAACACCACATAGGGCCAGAAGGAGGGTGGTCTGCAAATCACAGGGCGTATATGTTTGTGTGCTATTAAACACTTGTGTACGTCCTGCCGAGGGATTCCCGAGCTGCAAGAGTGTTAATTGGCAGAAAGGAAGCAGCCTGACGCGTTTAATCACACACTGAAAAGACAGAAGATTTCTCCAATGTAATTGAAAGGGAAGAGCTATGGTGTTTCTTAGCGCTTGCAATCAGGAAAAAACAGAGTGGAGAGTTAGCAGGTTTAGGCAGATGAATTTGAGAGAATGGGCTCATCCTTTTCTTGCTGATTTGCTACTGTTGATAGTTATCTTTCTGTATTACAATCACATCCTGGAACCTCTGTCATGGATCTCATTGCAAATTCAGTATGAACACGGAGTCTCTAACAAGTAAATTAGCTTCTTTGTGAGACAGTCATTTTGCTTCCCTCGAGAAGATAGGAAAGCTTCACAGCCTGGTTTCAGCCTATTTGTAGGCAGCAGTGTGTGTCCAATATGCTTCATATTTCTATGTCACCTCTGGACATGAGGGCTACAAACACAGCCTCTGAGGTAAGAAGTGCAAGCTGGGTGTGAGACCTTGTTCCTTTTCTTGCTGTCTGTGGCCACTCCCATATCTTGACTGCTGCTGAAGCAGGTATGGACTTGCCTGAACGGCATGCTTTCTTCACCTGGTTTCTGCGTGCAGTGACAGCCATCAGCTAAGATGGGATTGGCCGTGTCCCATCTCTCATGGTGCAGGACGGGACCTTGGGGGAGATTGGTGTTGCTAGGAGAAATTTAAGGATCAAAGCAGCAAACACTCGTTCAGCACTGGGGTGCTTGCACAAGTGGACTGGCTTCAGTGTAGGTGTAGTTAGGAGGACTGATGAGGGAGAGGCATAGGGACCCCTCTTCCTTCTGCTTTTTATCTGGATTAGCAGGAGAGTGAGCAAGCAAGAGAGAGGAGTACTAGGGAACCACAAACTGTAGAACTTTTTTTCCCCCACTCTTGTAGTTGGCTGTAGAAATTTTCCTCCTGTCTCCTTTCCCTTTGAACAGAACAGATTGGATTATACTGACTAGTTTGTGCCATGGGCTGCAGATGGTCCACCAGTCTACACTCACAGGGCACACGTGGGGCAGCACCCTCCACTCCCTGCCCACCTGTGCAGGGAGGAGTTTTGTCTGCTAATGCCTTGCTTCTAGAGAGGATAAGCTGCGTCACCTGTCAGGCACTAGGTCTGTTATCTGCCCTGTTATCTGTTCAATTAAAGCACAAACCTTTTCACGTGTAGGTACCTGCAGACTGGTCACTTCACAGAATCTGTCCTTGAACTCAGCTAACATGAACCCTTACAATGTGATGGTTTCAGTTCTGGTTTAGGAACATAAATAACATTAAGGGACCCACTGGTTATCTCATACAGGACTGCAGTCTGACACAATCTGAATCACACTGCCAGGCCCCACCCTGTTCTGAGCGTGGGGCCAGCATAACCTAGTGTTTGAGGGGCCTGTAGTCCCTTCTGGCACAGTGCAGGGGACAGGGAAGGCCATGCTTGCCCTGGGGTTACAGTGACAGAGTCCAGGATATTCATGGAGACAAGTCCCAGCATGGGGATGCCATCCCAGGACACACCTACTGCCACAGGCAACACCAAGCGCATCCCACAGAACTCCTGGAGTCACACCTGCAGGCAATTCTGAAATGGCTCCCTGTGATGCCCAGGACACCTGTGTACCCAGGTGGCTGCACTTTGTGCCTCTGGACTATGCAGTTGCAAAATAGAGAAGCCAAACAAAATCAGGGCAGCAAATTCCAGTTCTAAGTTTCCTTTCAGGTCTCAAGGATACTATTCCTGTGAGCTGGCGTAGCAAACTGCCTTACTTTGCCAATGGCATGAAGCAAAGGACTGTATCAAAAAAACTGATGAGTCAAAAGAAAGAGTGGACCATAAATAACAAGTCAAGACAGGCAGGGATTGCAGTACAGCAGGCTCGTGTCGGCAGAGAGCTTATATCACTGGTGTGAGTCAATGAGTACTGTTCTAACCATCTGTAGGTTTAAGGATCACAGAGGAGAGTTGTGAAGTATGGAGACAGCAGACAGGCAAGTTCAGGAAGGAGTAATTGGATAGCCACTGGGACAGAGAAGTGTAGCAGAAAAATTTTCTGCTCCAAGATCCCAAACAGAGGGAACAAGGGCCTTCTGTGCTGATCAGAGATCATCAGAATGAATCAGAGGCATGACCGAGAGGAAGAATTTCCTCTGAGAAAGGAGAGAACACTGACACAAAACTGGATGTGTGCATCATCATCACACACATGATCTCTTTACACAGAGAATCTTGATGGAAAGTCGCAAGGCAACTGTAGTCAGAAATAAACCTAAGCCTTTGACTTTAATATTTGCAATTCAGAGAGAGAATAAGCAGTGGCTCAGCCACTGCATTCAAGGCAGTGAATAGCAGATAGGCTGCTCTAAGAAGGAACAGTCTATGTTCTTCAGGTCCATTTCCTCTTCTTCATCTTCCATCTCCTGGCTGAAGTAAGCACAAAATGCCTGCTGAACGTGTAGCTGAAAAGGCTGCAGTTTGGGCAGGCCAATGTAGTGCTGTGAAGTGAATGTTGTTACTGCTTCCTGGTTTTCTGTTGTGGTTACAGCAGCCTAGCACTAAAACTGCAGGGACTATAGAGGAAATGCCTCCAGGGGAGCAGTGAACCTTGGATTTTAGCCTGGGCTGAATGGCAGAATGCACCTGAAGAACATAGACTGTTCCCTCTCAGAGCAGCCTGAAACATAGGGGAAGAATTAGGAAATGTCTTTAGGGACCTCATAGCCTTGAAGAAAGCTGATAGTTGTGAGGGTGCTCAGGAAAATTTGTCAAACCCCTAGTTAAACTTCATGGAAAGATGGAGAGGCACCGCTTGGAAGGTTGGCTAGCCTGTGTAGGAATGACCCATGATTTGTCCTCAGCATATCTTTATGAGTAGGTAAACCATCAATGCCCACAGCAGATTGCTTCCTTCTGGTGGAAGCAAGGGAAGGCACATACATCTTTCTAAACAATGAAGTTAGTTGTTTCAAATTTAGCTAAGCTGAGAACTATGTGCTCCAGGAGAGACCCTCCCTGTCCTTAACACTTTCTGCTGTGAATGCTACTCTAGGGTCACCACAGCTTCTGTATCACTGGCTCCGAAAATAATACTATTCTGGAAACATTTTAATTTCTAAAGCTATATAATACTAAAAAGACTCTGTTCAGACTATTTTCCCCTCTTTTTTGCAGTGAAGCCTTGACTGAGCCTGTCTTTTGGCACTGACTTGGACCAGAATCTGTAAACAGAGTGACCTGTTTGCTGTTCAGTCTGTTTGCCTGGAGAAACCAGGCTTGCCAACCAGACTTGCATGTTTTTGTGGTGAAATGGGAAAGGAGTCAGAACCGGAGGTTTGTGATCGGAGATGAAAGAGGCCAGAGAGGATATACCAGGGACTGAAAGATGTGTATGAATATGGGTCTGATGAGCCACAAGAGAACAGAGATGTAAGAGTAGGGGGAATGGGATGGTATCTGTTAGGATCAGAGTGTTGGCCAGCAGAACAGGGCATGTGAGGGAATCCAGTGTGGCAGAGGTGATTAATAGTAGACGAGTTCCCCCGCCCCCCCGCAGTTGTTATTCCTTTTGTTAAATACATATTAGTAGCCAAAAAATTAATCCTTTACTTACCTTTTTCAAAATTATTTACAAAATAATCAGTTTTCTTCTGATTGGCCAATGTCCAGCCGGAGACAGCTAG